ATGGACCCCTCAGCTCATGTTCCAAATGATGAATGATGCATGCTCGAGTTTGCCTTGGCGCAAATCCCATTACGATGCCCCAATTTGCCTCTGTTTGCAATTGTTCTCGGAATATTGCGCAAGTCGCTCCAGAAGGCCGCTGATTTCTGATTTACTGCAACAGAGAGCAACAAAGGGCATGACAAAGTATTTTCACATATGTATGCATGACTACTCTTCAGGGAGTGTAGTCCTCGATCTTTGTGCCACCAATCACGCATATCGATGCATGAAATGCACTCCTGCCAACCTAGGGGGTAAAACAACACGGTACACAACCTCACTAACCTTCTCTAATACCTCAAATGGTCCAATGTATCTAGAACTCAACTTTCATTTATTTCCAACCCTGATGACTCCTTTCCATGGTGATCCTTTCAAGAATACCATATCCCCCACATGAAACTCTAAGTCTCTCCCACGATGATCAGCATAACTTCTTTTTTTCATCCATCAGAAGTGAGGCAGTCCCTGGCTTGCATGCCAGTTTTATTTATTTTCTTAGTTAATTTGTTAATTAATTAGAATTCTGTAATATTTTGGACTGTAATATTCTTTTATTTGGGGACTGTAATATTTGGACTGTATTATTTATTCGGACCCTCCGAGTGAGGGCACAACTGTAATAAGTGTGGGTGAGTGTGATGTATGTCTTCCAACCCCACGTCTTTCTCCCTTTTTATTTATCCGCTTTTGGTGGTTAGATTAGGGCATATTCTAATTAGCATACAGTATGACAGCATGTTTGCATCATTCATCTGTATTGCATGCATCGGGCTCGGCGCATCATACTAACTGCATTGTACTTTCAATACCAAATTGAATACGTGTTAGTTGTAGCATTTCACATGCCATGTTTAGAATAGCCGAGCCTACTATAGTTGCATTTTGCATGTGTTGCATTAGTCATCTTAACATAAACTAGAATCATGCATTGATTACTAACTAGTTTCTGTTTTGGCTCAAAAGTACTCGGTAAGTTTTACGCTTTAGCATCCTTGCATGTGTGTGAGTGACTGCCATGATAGCATGCTTACCATGAGGCTAATTGCTTATGCGATATAACTGTCTGAATGCCTGTGAGTGAAGGTTGAGTTATTTGAATTGGAACAATTCATTAATTGTGAGTTTTAAAGCCTACTAGATAGTGGTAAAATCATGTTTTTCTAAGCCCACCCGAGGATGGAAAATCCACGTCTTACCCTACTTGCGGGTAGTACCATCAAACCACTTTCAAAAACAAACATGAAACGTTTTGTTTCAATCCAGGCGATCCAGTCTATACTTGTATGCTGTGCGTATCACATAATAAATCTAGGCTAATAACCGAAATAAGAACGCATAATATTTTCAAAACTAGATATCATGGTTAGTAGAAGCCGATCTTTGATCGGGCGAGTGGGGGTGCTCACGAAGTGACCTTCCCCAATCGTACCCAAGTTCCCGAACCGAGGTAACTTTGGTGATGACGGACACGTGGCCTTAAGTAATGAGTCAGGGTTTCCTAAATTCCCCAAAATAAAATATTTAGGTGGCGACTCTGTATCTGGCAAAGCAGTCCATGTTTGGCACTTCTTTCAAAAAATTTGTTTTCAAAAACGATTTGCCGGATTTGGACTCTTTGATGATTCATCGGTCTTGCATTGCACTCCGCGAGATTAGACATAGGACCGTGACACAAATTGAGTCCGAACTATAGTAAGGCCCAAGGGCGCGTCTACACCTGTGATTTAGCTAAATTATTATTTTTAAATAAGTTATGAAATGCAAAATTAAAATGGAAAAACACTTATTACATTACAAAAAATTAAGATTTTAGAGACCAAAATTTAGAGACAAAATATTTTTGTTGCAAAAAGTGTTGTTATTATATTTTTACCAACGAAAATTGAATATTAGTGACATTTTCGGAATTTTATCGCTAAAAGCCTTATTATTAACTTTTCAGGGCGACCGTTTAGCGACTATCCTCACAATGATAGGAATTAATCCCTAAATGTCTTTTGCAACAAAATTTTCACTTTTAGTGATCAAAAAAATTAGTCTCTAAAACTCTTATATGTTGTAGTGTCAAATGGTGAAAATATTATAAAATTAACAAATAATTAAAAAAGTTAAAAACACGTGAAATGACTTGTTAAAAAATTCTTAGAATATATTTAGTTTGATTTTTAGAAATTTATTTTTAATTTTTTAATAATTTGGTTAAGAAATAAGAAATAAAAAATAATTATTATTTTTATATAATTTTATCTTTTGAGTGGTTAGAAATAATTTTTACAAATTAAATATATTTTTTTATATTTATTTTTATTAAATTAGTTATTATTTATTTTTTTAAATTCTGAATTTTTTTCTAAATAACAAATCAAACATGATTCTAAAAACTTAATTTTTTTTTATCCAACATAATTCTTTTGTAAATTTTATTGATTTGTCAAAGAGATTTCAGTACGGACAATATCGTCGATCAATTTATATTTTGATGATATCAATTAATCATTCTTAATGTAACAATAGAAATTAAATTATTCTGTGAATATAAATCTCAGGAGAGCGAAATATGATTTCTAAAACTTCAAAAGAGAATCTATAATTTAGCTAAGGGAGGTGTAGGTAATTTCCCATATATACATACCAGTTATGATTGGGAGCCCGAAAATGGGAGCCCTGAATGCCCCTAATATACAAAACGTCGTCGTTTTTGTATTTTTTTTTTCCAGCAAAAGAAGGAAGAAGACGAAGAAGAGAAGAAGGGGGAGGAGGAGGAGGGGGAAGAAAGACTGGAGGGGGCCTAAACAATGGTGGAGGAGGGGGCGGAGGCGAGGCAGAGGCATGGCGACACGATCGGCGGAGGCGACGCGATCGACGACGATTCTGCTTCCCCTCTCTCTCTTTCTCTCCCTCTCTTTCTCTTTCTCTCCCTCTTCCTCTGCAACCCAGAGGTTGAAAATGACGGAAAAAAAGAAAAAAAAAATAAACTAATACCCAAACTGACGTCATTTTAGACATTAAGAACATTCGGGGCACGAGAATTCGAGGCACAAATCTTTACTCTATACTGATATATGGGGGATGTGGATACAGATAATACGGACATATATTGCGGATATGGATTCGATTTGGCGTGTCTTGACTCCGAGGCTCAGTGAACACGAACCTCTTGCTACATAGGCTCGGTAAAGTCCGTTTTACATCAAATTTTTGGGCATTTATGATTTTGGGTTAAGTTTAGAGGGTGAAAATGGTAAATTTCCGTAAGGTATATGTGTTCTTGTCGTTGATGAAGACTTGGTTTGATGCTATTGGATGGTCTGCAGCGAAAATGCCAGTGTCAGTGTTTGATTCTTCTCTACTATATCTTTATTTTGAATTCGTGTTCAATTTATGAGCAATGATCTTTGTATGTTATTGTTCCTTGTTGATTTTTTTTAACCAATTTGGTTTCTATGGTTCCTAATTCTGGTTCTCTGTTTCATTAATTCTCAATGGTTTGTTGATTTGATTTACATGTTGGCAATTTCTTGTTGACTCATGGTGTTTCAATTTCATATATTTTATGAAACTCTTGAGTTTGGAGAAGTGGAGTGCTTGATCCTGTGTCTTGATTCCATAATTTTGGCATAAACTTCCCTTCATACTTTACATCTTTATGTCTATGCATATTCCTTTTGTGGGCTCTAATTTGGACTCACATCAATGATTCGAACTGTCCATTTTGTAGACCTCGCAATAAAAGTTATCCATGCAAAAAACAGCTTTACCGAAATATAAACACAGAAACAAATTACATTTATTTTATAAAATGGATGATTTAAATTACAATCCTATTTGCCGTTTATTTTATAAAACAAAATATTATTTGTTTATGTGGTTATGCTACTCAATCAAATTAATTTTTTGCATGAATGACTTTTAGTGCAAAGCCTAAAAGATAGACGATTTAGATCATCAATATGGGTCCGAATTGAGACCCACATGAGAAGTATGAATGGATATGGAGAGATGAAAGTCTAGATGGGAGCTCATCCCATAATTCTGTGATTGGATTTTTGTGGTTTGGTAGTGGCAGTGGTGGGAGTGATCTGAAGGGAAGAAGATGAATGGTAGATAAAGGAGAAAAAAAGACCATTTTCCCTTAAAAGTTGGTCACGAGATCTTTTTTCCAGAAATGAGATGGCTGTTAAGGATTGGACTAACTCCATACAAAATCAAATAACAAACGGATTAATATGATACAAAATAAAAAGTTCAAGGATAAGTGTGTTACAAATTGAAATAACAAGGGTCAAATTGACATTCGGAAAAAACTTTAGGAACAATTGGTGTAATTTTCCCTTTAAAAAATAATGAGACCTACCATAACATATGTATAGGAAGTCGCATATACAGGAGGTTATGAGTTTTGAAGAAATATTTGAGTAATAGATAGCATCCCTCCTAGAAATTAACAGGGTCCATCTCTTTTTATTTTAACTTTTGGCAAAATGTTAACCAATGTCCTCGGCACACAACTTTTAAAACATTTATACATTTTTGGTAAAAGTAGAATATATAAGAAATATACAACCATGTAATGCATTGTTAGCTTGTGGCACAGACATATATTAGTGAGACCCACCCTTAATTTTTTTGAGTCTGTGCTCTAGTCCATTTTCATTTTCTTGCTTGGTTCATTTGTTAGGTCATATGTCTTTGTTGATCTTAGGTCTAAAATTGTAATTGAGCATTAGCTATTTTATTTTCAGTTTGTTTGTTCTATGTGTAACAACCTCTTTCTTTTATTAAAAGAAATAGAGAACAAGAGGATAAGAAAAAAAACAAAGAAAAAAAGGGTGAAAAAGACTATAGCACAAGAAGATGGAACACTCCATAGTCCATATGCATCATGGAACTATAGTTTATGCAGGGTATGTTACACAACTCCCATCTAGCAGGGCCCTCTAAAATAGAAATTTGTTCGAAACCAATAACTTTTTTTTTATTTTTTTTATTTTTCTTTACTATGTTAAGCCTACTCATATGTGAACAAACTCATCCTTCGATTTATCGTCTAAATTTGTTTTGTTATTACTACTCTCTTTGTAGTCAAGAGACAAATAACTTATGGTTCCTATGCCATAGCTTTCTTATCTACAAAGTTGTCCCAGCCATTTCATTTGGATACTAAAATGGCATCAATGAAGAGTCTTTTGCTCCTTGTTTCTCTTTCTCTGCTGGTTTCTAATTCATTGGTTCTTGCAAATTCCCATCTTACCGCAGGGACTGATGATGGTTCGGAACAATGGGGATATGTTGAAGTTCGACCCAGTATGTCAAATTTTTCTATGAAACCTGAAAACAATATCCCCCGACTACTTTATTCTTGTGGTGGTTGTCAATAGTTGAACTATGCACATATTTATCAACAAAAAAAATAATAATAATAAAAGTTGAACTATGCACATATAAACCAGTCACAGAACTGGATGCAAAACATGGATAGGTTTTCGAATCTGTGACTGGTTTTCTGTGTTCCTAGCAGTAATCTCTTGTCAGTAGTGTAATTCTTAGTACTATTGGTTTATTGGCACCTTATTCATTGTTGTGCATTGTGTAATGTAGAGGCCCACATGTTTTGGTGGCTTTATAGAAGTCCTCACAGAGTTGAGGATCCATCCAATCCATGGCCTACAATTTTATGGCTCCAAGGAGGCCCTGTAAGTAGTTCCTGTAAAATGAAAATACCCAAAACAAAAACACAATGCACTATTCATAGTTGTATAATTTATCTTATTTTATGTCATGATTTTTGAATATTCTAGGGGGGTTCCGGAGTTGGGTTTGGAAACTTCTTAGAAATCGGACCACTGGACGTGGATTTGAAGCCGCGGAATTCAACATGGCTCACCAAAGCTGATCTCTTATTTGTGGTAAATTTCACATTCACATAACTCTTTCTTTTTTTTGGTCGTAATAACTTAATGAACTTAAAATTTTGTAATTTCACGCGATCTACATTTGTTCTTGTAGGATAGTCCAGTTGGAACAGGATTTAGTTATGTAGAAGATGAGAGTTTGGCGGTTAAGACTGATGAAGCGGCAGCAATTGATTTGACTGCAATGTTGAAGGCCCTTTTCAATGGAAATGAGACACTACAAAAGAGTCCTCTGTTCATTATTACAGAGTCATATGGAGGAAAATTTGCAGTTACTCTTGGGTTATCAGCTCTTAAAGCTATTGAAGCAGGGGAATTAAAGTTACAACTTGGAGGTAATCATTACCGTCTACTATTTTGGAAGTCCTTTGAGAGCAACGACTGGTTCAAAATTCAATATCCATATAAACATAAAGAACTTGTTTGGTATCATCTTTATTTTTTGGTTTTTTTGTGTTTTCAGAAACAAAATAATGAAAAGCTCGAAAATAATCACTGTTTTCATGTCGTATTCATTTTTTGCAAAAACAGTTTTTAAAAAATTCAAAAAATATTTTAGAGGTGTTACCTAAAAAAATGGTTGTTCTTAGAAAAAGTTCCTGAAAACAGTTTTCAGAATCAGTTTGCCAAACAAATTTCCATATCCGTTGTCGTTTTTTGATTTTGTGAGAGCAAAATATACAGAACAAAAACTATAGAAAACTTGTGTCCAATAATTACTCTCTAAATACAACTTTTTTTCCTAATTCTGTATTCTTGCATTGTATTATACAGGAGTTGCTTTGGGAGACAGTTGGATTTCTCCTGAAGATTTTGTGGTGTGTTGGTTGCTTGATTATAACCAAAACTCTTTATCTGTTTGGTTTAAAAGAAAATTAAATTTGGTTCATTTAATTTGGATATATGAATTGTGCATGTGATGCAGTTTTCATGGGGACCTCTTCTCAAGGACTTGTCACGACTCGATAGTAACGCCTTGTACAGTTCAAACAGGTTTTGTTAAAACTGCTTTTCGAAAAAAAAAAAAAATTAATAACAAGAGAGAAATACTCATATTTTATGAATCACATGTAAAAAAAGGAGTTAAAGGGGTGAGTTAGTAAAACAATGTTTCATATAAGTATGAAGATGCAACAAACACTTGGCAAGTGCTTGAGGGTGTTATTTCAGCAAGCAGTAACAATGTGGTAAGTCTCTATCGAGACACACAGACACACAAACACGAGCATAGTCATATACAATTGGCATTTGGAATGTTGAGTAATTTTGTGATTGAATTGTAGGACTTCTATAACTTCATGTTGGATTCTAGCAATGACCCTGTTGAATCAAGAACATATGAATCGAAAGGACTAATGGTAGATAGGTACTCGAAATATATGAGCACCAAGATTTTTTCATCGATTAATAGTGCATCGGGTCCTGACCTTTACACCGTGATGAATGGGCCTATAAAACAGAAGCTAAAGATTATTCCAAAGAATGTAATGTAAGTTCTTTCGTGCTAAAAAAAATGAAAAATGAAAAAACTTTTTATTTGAAAACAAAGAGGGTATGATACAAGATATAAATTTCTACATATAACAATTTTACCCGAAATCGTGTAGATGGGATGGACAAGGTGCAATTGTTTTCCCAGCAATGGTTGGAGACTTCATGAAACCAAGAATCAAAGAGGTAAATATGACTATATTTCAATGTTCAATCTCACTTGCACCTAAGAAATGACTGTTTTAGGTTGTAGACAACATAAAGTTAAATTGGGCATTATGGTAATTCTCAATCAACAATTTCAAATTACCTTCCATTGACTTGGCCTTGTGAAGAGTGAAATGGAATTGGACTAATAATGTTTACTCTTTTTTGTTCCCGAGTCCAACTAAGATCTATTGGCTATTTGTGTGTTTGTTGGAGTTGGAATAAGTCTACGAACACAGAAATAGGTCACATAATACATTACATATAGAATGATAAGATTTTTAAAAGTGAACCCCACTAATAAACATGTAAAATCTTGTTTATTCAAGTGTATTTTGTGTCCAATTTTGTGATCGATTTATGTGTTCGTAGAAGAACTCCTATGAGTTATAACCTTTGTTGCATTTTTCAGGTTGATAAGCTCCTAGCCAAAGGCGTAAATGTGACCATTTACAATGGACAGGTACTACGAATATCTTGTGAGTTTCAATATAGATGAATATGTCAGAAATTAGAAAACTATCGATAAAAAGGAGTGCAGACAAGGATATACTTTATCTTAGAACAAGAATGCAATGAAAATAAGAATAGAGTTGTCACGTAAATGTTTAAGAATATTATTTTCCTCCAAAGTCTTGCATTTATTTGTTTCCATTAGCTTCTTTGGTGGATATGGTTTTGATGTTATGTATGACAGATTGATCTCATATGTGCAACCAAAGGAACAGAAGCATGGATTGACAAACTCCAGTAATGGTTCTTTTCATTTTAAATTTACGCTTCTTTTGTCTAGGCCAAAAATGTTTTATGCAGAAAACATTTGTCAGAAAACATATTTTGGATTTTTGTGAGGTTTGCTAATAAACTAAATTTGACAGATGGGAAGGTTTGAAAACTTATTTGAACTTGAGCCGAACTCCTTTGTTCTGTGGAGAAGATAATATAACTACAAAAGCGTTCGTAAGGTCCTACAAAAACCTCTTCTTCTATTGGATTCTTGGAGCTGGCCACTTTGTAAGTGATTCTATAACATCATTATTGCCTCCCATAGTCAATGTTGTTGTTCTTATCATCATCATTCTTAGCCATGGTTTGTCAATTCATTAGTACTAAATTGATATCTAAACAATTGAAAACAGAGTTTCAAAACATTGCTATACTCGGATGAATCTCACAAGATTGATATGCCACATGTAATAACAAATATCGAGTAAATCATGATTTTCGACTAGATTATAAGTGAAGACCAGTTAGTGGACATTGATACTTGAGATCGCCCCTACTCACGACCCCCTAGGTCCATCCTTGCTCCTAAATATTTTAGGCTCAAATTCACTACCCAATAAACAACATTCAAGGCATGGTCAAGCAAGAAGACATTGATACTTGGTCGATAATAGCACTCACAACGTTAGAAAGTGGGTAGGGTTGGTTTTGTTTTTGGAAATTTGTGCCTTATGTGTTAGGTGCAACTTATGCTTATTGTTTATGAAATAGTAATAACGTAAATAAGCTGAAAAAATTTAATTATTGAAAAACAGGGAAAGAAATGTTGTAGTTTCTGCTTTCTGATAATCAACTTTCAATAAGTTACACCAAATAAGCTCAATATCCTTTTTATTTCTGCTTTTAATGATTCAAGTATAGAAACATGTATTTGTGTATGCATGCATATTTATGTATTGTATATTTATTTTTGCTTTATTGGAAGGTCACTTTCTACACAAAAGGCCTCCTTTTATCTTGCATTTTTTACACTAAAAAAATTGTTAGTATGAATAACCATATTACATAATGAAGTAACAAATTAAGAGACGAATTCATACCAGTCTTGTTTGACAAAGATTTGAGTCTTAGAAAGCACATGTAGCCCCTAGTCTCATATAATGTAAACATGTTAACCATAAAATTACCTCCTAAACGAAACAGGATTTAACATCCTACATTTTCAAAACTTCAATTCTGTGTTAATGCGCATGTATCTCGTGAATTCAAATCTTATTGTTGTTGTTATCTATGTGCAGGTCCCTGTAGATCAGCCTTGCATTTCTCTGCAGATGGTTGGCAGCATTACTCGATCACCAAGTAAATCATGATGGATTATTAACGTGAAAAGCCAAATTCTTGAAGTTCAAGCAGTAAACCAGATGTGGCTGGAAATGCACTTACAAGGGATTAACAAACAATTAATGTTATTGAAACAAGTTATTGATTGTAATCGAATAATATTTGTCTTGTAGACAACAAAATATTTTCTAGAAATAGCAAAAAGGATTTCTTGTCTTATAATATTCTCCAAATTTGTTTGCATCAAATGTATTCCTAATTTGTTCTTCTCAAGGGACAGAGATGGATCAATAGAAATCACCCAACTTGGGGATTAGATATTGTCTTGCCAACAGATTCAAATCACAGAAACAGTCTTTTTAAAAATGAAAATAAAGTCGCATACATCTATTAACAAAAATCTGATTAGTAATCTCAGTATACTTTTTACAAATCTTAAATCACTTTTACAAATTTTCAACACTAAAGACAGTCGGTCCAATTGTTTTTAACATTTTTCAAATAAATAAACGAAAAGGAATTTGACATCTACATGCTTCAATCATGAGTGTAGAAAATTGTTGAAGTGACCAATAAACACATATTTAATTTGCACGTGGTCAGTATATATAAGATTTGGTTTAATTTCTCTTTTTCGTTTTATGTTTTGCCTCTTTTGTTTTGCAGCTGCTAAAAAAAAAAAAAAAAAAAAAAAATTACACTTTCAACCACTGCAAAGTAAATTTCATGACATTTTTTTTTAAAAGAATAATGCTCTGTATTTATTGGAGAGCAAAAGAGAAACATTCTCTCGAGTGAAATAACAAAACAAAAACCCAACGGGGTGGTTTAAGCAACTCAAATCTACATTTAAAAAATATGTATTAATAAATAAAATGAGTCAAATATTAGAAAGCAAGTAGAATGACCCTACATTCCACTAATTTGTAATTCTTCTATATTTAGGCCTCGTTTAGGGATCAAATATTTTAGCAAAAAAAATTAAAAAATCACTATAAATTGTCACATTACTCTTTTTTTTTTTTATACATATTTTTTCGTAAAAAGTCAAAATGTTACTAAAATAATATATTCTCAAACGAGACCTTAGCAATGGGTGTTTGGTTGATTATTTTAGTGGTTCTTTTTTAATTTTTTTTATACTATTAAATTCTATTCTATTAGACGAATCTAAAATTTTGAAGGAAAAAAAAAAATCAGAAGAAATTATTAAAAAAAGTTCCAATTTTAAACATTTTTTAAACATTCTTTGGCAATTTCTGGGTTCAAACTTGTTAGAACAATTGATGTGAAATTTATGAGATTTGAAATTCTGTTCTTAAAATTCTCTATCATGATTGTGTGACAACGAAAATTTCAAAATTGTGAGTCACATTAATCAATATTTTTATTTTAAAGTGATAGACTTATATTTTTTTATTATCGGTAATGTATTGTAATTAACTAAGGGGTTGTTTGGGAGTGTCCTAAATAAATGAACTTTTTGTCTTTTTAGACTAAAAAGTTGAAGAAAAAAATATAGATGTTTGGGTTAACTTTTTGATTTTTTATGAAAAAATGTGTATTAAAAAACTATATAAATAAGTGTATAGGGGAATAAAGTGATGAATAGGTCGTACGGCTGGCAGCCTAGGTAGAGGACTTTGGAATAGATTGATTATCTACTTTTCGGACATAAATTGGTCGGTTCTGTTCGGCCCATAGGGGCCCACCACGGGTCCCATTTTACTAATCGGAACGGTTCAATGTGTAGAACTCGTCGAGTACTATATGCTTGTAAAAAATCATGTTGATTGGATATTGATAGCTATCTGATCCTGTTAGTTTTTTTTGTTAACTATTAACTATAACACCATCCATTTTTATACAAAACTGATTTGATCATATATTTAGCTATATCTGATAGGCGTAATTTTTTATAGGCATATAGTATTAGACGAGTTCTACATATTGACGGTTCAGACTGTCAAAACGGGACCCATGATGGGCCCCCACGGGCCCAGCTCTACCATCCAATTTAATGAATATTTTACTCTATTTTTTTTCCCCGGTCACTGACGGGCCCATCACGTCAGTACCTTGTTAATTGCATTTTTTTTGATTTGTATTAATATGTGAAAAATATTTTTTTAATATTTTTTTTGGTGAATAATGATAACTTTTTAACTTTTTTAGTAACTTTTTGATTTTTTAAATTTTTTGAGAGTTCCCAAACCGGCCCTAAATTTAAATATTAAATTCACTTCCATGATAGGTGCTTCCAGTGATCAATCATAAGAAAGTGCCAGTTTTTAACCCTGCATTTTATTTGCCAAATTTGTGATTTAATTGTCAAATTTGTTTGATGCTGTTGGATGGTTTGCTGCAAAAATGCCTTTACCAGGGTTTGATTCTTATCTATTTTTTCTTTGTTTATTTTTTTAATTTGTGTTTCAATTTATGAGAAAATGATCTTTTGTGCTATTGTTGCTTGTTGAATTTCGTTACCCAAATTGGTTTCTAGTCGAAGTTTGATTGAAGTTCTATTATTGGACTGTTCCTAATTCTGGTTCTCTGTTTCATTAATTCTTAATGGTTTTTCAATTTGATTTACATGGTGGTGGTGTAGGATGGTGGTTATTGGGTGGAAGTGACAGTGGAGGGAGAAAAGATGAATGGAAGGGAAAGAAGAAAAAGACCATTTTACCCCTAAAAGTTGATCACGTAATCATTTCTGTCCAAAAATGAGATGGTTGTAAACAATTGGAATAATTTGATACAAAATCAAATAATGAATGGACTAATTTGATACAAAATCAACAACTAAAGGACACTTGTGTTACAATTGAAAAAACAAGGGGCAAAGTGAAATTTGGATAAAATTATAGAGATCACCCATGATATTTGCCCTTTGAAAAATAATGAGACCCCCTTAACACATGTATTGGAAGCTACATGTATAACAGGTGATGAGTTTAAGTGAAATATTTCCCATCCCTTTTATTTTACTTTTTGGAATGTTAACCGGTGTCTTCTACACACATTAACAAGTTTCAAAATAGTTATATATATATATATATATATATTTTTATAAAAGTAGAATAGATAATAAATATGCAACCACGTAATGCATTGTTGGCTTGTGCCACGGACATTTGTTAGCAAGACAATTTTTTCTAGTATGAGCTGTTGTCCATTTTCTTGCATGGTTCATTTGTTAGGTCATGTGTGTCTTTGTTCACTTATATGGGTTTTGAAAAATATTCCTCCAAGATGATTGTAGAGTAAGTTTAGAGGGTGAAAATGGTAAATTTCCGTAAGGTGTATGTGTTCTTGTCGTTGATGATGACTTGGTTTGATGCTATTGGATGGTCTGCAGCGAACATGCCAGTACCAGGGTTTGATTCTTCTCTACTATATCTTTATGTTGAATTTGTGTTCAATTCATGAGCAATGATCTTTGTATGTTATTGTTCCTCGTTGAATTTTTTTTTAACCAATTTGGTCTCTATGTTTCCTAATTCTGGTTCTCTGTTAATTTGATTTACATGGTGGCAATTTCTTGTTGACTCATGGTTTTCAATTTCATACATCTTTTGAAATTCTTGAGTTTGGAGAAGTGGGGTGCTTGATCCTGTGTCTTGATTCCATAATTCTGGGAATAAGCTCTCCTCCGTACTTTACATCTTTACATCTATCCATATTCCTTTTGTTGGTACTAATTTGGGCTCACATCAATAATTCAAACTGTCCATTTCGTAGACCTCGCAATTAAAGTTATCAATGCAAAAAACAGTTTTACCGAAATATAAACACATAAACAAATTACATTTATTTTATAAAATGGATAGTTTATATTTATAATCCTATTTGTTGTTCATTTTATAGAACAAAATATTATTTGTTTATGTGGTTATGCTATTTAATCAAATTAAATTTTTGCATAAATGACTTTTAGTGCAGAGCCTACGAGAGAGATGATTCGGATCATATATGGGTCCAAATTGAGACTCACAAGAGAAGTGTGAATGAATATGGAGAGATGAAAATCTGGATGGGAGCTCATCCCATAATTCTGTGATTGGATTTTTGTGGTTTGGTAGTGACAGTGGTAGGAGTGATCGGAGGGGAGAGAAGATGAATGGAAGATAAAGAGAGAAAAAAAAGACCATTTTTCCCTTAAAAGTTGGTCACGGGATCCTTTTTCCAGAAATGAGATGGCTGTTGAGGATTGGACTAACTCGATACAAAAATGAATGGATTAATTTGATACAAAATAAAAAGTTCATGTGTGCTACAAATAATTGAAATAACAAGGGTCAAATTGATATTCGGAAAAAACAATAGGGACAATTGGTGAAATTTTCCCTTTAAAAAATAATGAGACCCACCATAACATATATATAGGAAGTTGCATATACAGGAGGTTGTGAGTTTCGAAGAAATATTTGAGTAATAGATAGCATCCCTCCTAGAAATCAACAGGGTCCATCTCTTTTTATTTTAACTTTTGGCAAAATGTTGACCAATGTCCTCGGCACACAAGTTTTAAAACATTTATACATTTTTGGTAAAAGTTGAATGTATAAGAAATATACAACCATGTAATGCATTGTTAGCTTGAAGCACAGACATATGTTAGTAAGACTTAATTTTTTTGAGTCTGAGCTCTAGTCCATTTTCATTTTATTGCTTGGTTCATTTCTTAGGTCATGTGTCTTTGTTGATCTTAGGTCTAAAATTGAAATTGAGCATTGGATGTTTGTATCCAATCTAGCTATTTTATTTTCAGTTTGTTTGTTCTATGCGTAACAACCTCTTTCTTTTATTAAAAGAAATAGAGAACAAAAGGATAAGAAAAAATAATTAAAAAAAAATGGTGAAAAAGACTATAGCACGAGAAGATGGAACGCTGCATAGTCCATATGCATCATGGAATTATAGTTTGTGCAGGGTATGTTACACAAATCCCATCTAGCAGGGCCCTCTAAAATAGAAATTTGTTCGCAACAAATAATTTTTTATTTTATTTTTTTATTTTTCTTTGCTATGTTAAGCCTACTCATATGTGAACAAACTCATCCTTGGATTTGTCGTCTAAATTTGTTTTGTTATTACTACTCTCTTTGTAGTCGAAAGACAAATAAGTGATGGTTCCTATGCCATAGCTTTCTTATATACAAAGTGTTAGTCCCAAGTTCCAACTCACATGTGTGCAGAGTCTCAGGAGGATGGTGTAC